AAAATGTTTGAACTCTGATAGAAGACTGAGAGACATTGCTCTGCATGCATACAATAGTAATTAACTTAAATGTCATTATGTGGTGGAGTTGCCCTACCCATGGGTGTATCCAGCCTTCAGTGAGCAAGTGCCCAGCAGAGCAGACATCATCATAATTTTCGAAGTCTGCTGCAAGTTGAGTCATGTTGGGCCTTTCAGTAGGCAAAGTTTGGGAATTCCAATATTGCTTGTTCCCATTTGAATCTTATTACAGTTGTTACTTTTATTATAATAGTTGGCATTCATTATGATGTAGGTGCCTTTACCAAACTTTAGCCTTTTAAAAATACTGTATTGTCTAAATGGCTATCCAGGATAACAGAGCTATGCAGTCTGAGAAAACGTTGCCTAAACTTTTCGTGTATATGGAGAATTGTGTATGTGCTGATTGTTCAAGTTGGGTCAAGCTACTCTTGACTGTATTTTCAATGTACTTGAAATAAAGATCTTACTTATTGCCTTTGTAAGTGTTGTAAATATTTCTGATAACTTTTCCATAAAAGGAATTGATATGTCCTTTTACCAGTAATTGCCAATAAAAAATGAGGTGCTGGTTGACTGTTCAGAGTTTTGAAATTGGAAGAAATTGTCAGAACTATTTTAAAAATCATTATTAAAGAAGAATAGTTCCTGTTTAGTGTTATCTTGACAGTGGAAGTACGTGAGCTTTTTGTCCTTTCAGTTTAAAAATGCACTCTAAATTTAGTATTTTAAAATTGGACCATAAACTTTGAAAACTTACCAACTTTTGTCCTTCAAAATATCACTGCTAATATGATTTTACAACTTTATTCTCTTATGTCCTGTGTCTCTGTAAACTTCATCTTGTTGACCACTTGTTCCACAAGGTTTGACTTTAGCCTGAGAAGGTAAACCCAAGCTCTGTCTTACTTGACAACTGTAATGAGTCACAGCAGCACTTAATAGTAGCAAGAATTGTGATTTTCTGTAGAACTGAATACAGTTCTTCCTGTTAGTGTGTCTTACACCTTCATGTCTATTGCTTTGTGATCTATATATACATGCATATATACACATGCATGTATGTGCGTGTGCACACAGAGGCGTGTATATATGTAAGTCTACACTGAAGCTGACTGTACTATGCCTACTCTTGCCCCAATAATGTTTTATTATGTGGATAAAGCTATTTTTAATGACTAAGCTCTAAGGAGTATTGAAGATGCTTCAACATCCAAACTTAGCTGTAAATCAATCGGCATGAATATTACACATGTATTATACTTGAAATGTGAAGAGTCAGTTGTGGAGTACTAGAGTTAGTTGTTGAGCCGTTGTAGTTTTATTAAAAAAAGCGGTTGATTTGTTACACTGTTGTCATTGCCCAGATCTGTGCTTTAGAGAATACAGATTTCAACTGTATTCTTATATTTCTACTCCTGTAAGTAGCTTCCTGTTCTGGAGTACGGAAGGATAGCTGAATTCGATCAATAATTCGTTTTCCTGGAAGTATGCTGGATGGCATTAGACTGATTGAGTTCAAGGCCTCAGCTGTTGTAAGGCGAGCCACATGTGCATGTCCGAGGGCATCTTCCATCTCCTCGCTTCTCCCTCTGTTGTGGCAGAACTGGGTGGTTCTGCTGCCCTGGCTGGGTTTGTGGAGCAGCTTTTCTCACCCAGGACATGTGGCTGCAGCTCTGTCTTTGGGTGTCTAGGACTGGTACAAAGTTAGAAAACCAAGGTTCTAAAACAAGAGTGCTATTTCAGTATGTGTAACAAAAGCATTTAAAGAAAAAAGAAAACCATTGGTCTTGAGCCATTCTTTAACCTTTCCTGTTTATTTCTTTTACCTTATTATCTCCCTGTTTTATGTTTTGTTGTACGAATATGATTTTTGCTCAGCCCAAAATAGTTAGTGGATTACAGACATAACTTAAGTGTGGTCACAGTCACATCATTCTGAATAAGAAAATGCTTCAGTCAATGCAACTGCTTTGTATTTTTTCTTGTAATTTATGTTGTGGGTTATTGATTGTACTCTATATAACTGTACTGGTAAAATAAGCGGTAGTAGTGAATATTTCCAGATACTTTGTTGTCTTCACTGCTGGATTGTTTGAGTAGTATTTAAGTTTTAAACTGCATCTACTAGCATTCTTCTAAAGAGTTCCCAGTGTGAGGTTAGTATAGGCAAAGCTAAGGAATGTTTCTAGAGCAGAGTTGCTGTCTTATGGAGACTATGAGTTTTTAACAGTATAGACATGGACTGTTTTCATCCTTGTGGCCGCAGTACCATCAAATGAGTCCAAGATTGTTTATGTACTAAAATAGATGTAGCTAGAGAAACCCATGCTACTATTATACATTGAAGAAGATGTTTGATGATATAAACCTATTTAGCTCACTGTTTCATTTAGCCGTCACTGTATAGAGGAAAACTAACACTTCAATTATGTCCACTTCCAAGGTATGTACTCTTGCATAGTCTTTGTTGGAGACACCACATAATCATGTGAGTGGCTGGTAAAATGACAGTATTCTGACTAGACAAGTTTGTCAGGCTGTTTCTTCTTTCGAATTAGTTGCTCTATTATTAGTATTAATGAACATTTTGCGAAGAAAGAGCAATTTGAGATGAAAAGGGAGCAAAAAAAGCAAAAATGTATCATTTAACAGTATCTTTTACAGCATTTTGGTTTTTCTTGCAGTGTATCCCTGTATCGGGGAAATTGCCGACCTCTCCGGTTTGAGCCACCAATGCTGGATTTCCATGAACAGTAAGTTGAAAAGTCTTTTGATCTGTTTAGTTAGACAAATAGAAAAAAGCATCTCAAGAGCTTTTAAAACTGATGAAGATTGTATACAGAAATAGCATTGATAGATTGTCCGTAAGTGTAGTTGACCTACTTATTCCAGAGAGCTGGTGTACATGGTCTTAGATATCATGTAGTGACCTATCAGCTGCCGTGGTTTTGTTCGTTTTGGTAGTGCTTTGGTACTTGCACTTACTTTTACGTGCTTTACAGCTGCTCTGTAGAGTGGAAACAGTTTTAAGTCTAGAATTTAACGTACTGAGGTGAGATTACCTTTCTGTTTGTACATAACCCGTGTCAGAGAGCATCTACTCTAGCATGTCCGTTTCAGTATTGCTTTGGTGGCAAAGAAACTTCGTCAGTGCATCTGCAGTTATTAGAACAGTAACATAGAGTTGTGAAAATACAGCCTCAAGGAGAAGCAGCCTCCAGGAACCTAGCTCCATGTTCCACCTTGCAGCTGGTTGCTGTTTCGATTCTCAGTGGCTGAATGTAATGGCTTACAGCAAACTTATCTGTGACTTCTCTAAAAGATAAAAGAAAGGGAGGAGGAAGGAAGCTTGTTTCAGCAGTGTACCTGCTTGTAGACAGTTCCTCTGAGAACTGCTTCAGTCTTAACTTTTCTTACCAGTAACTGGTCGCTGTGTATAGGTCGCTACAATCATTCTTCTTGTTAACACTCAATATTGTTTCTGGAGTTGACGTACATGGATGCAGCCTCTGTGCATGATTGATACTTTGACACAATGTAAACTGCAGTGAGAGTATTTCAAATGTTTTGTGAACGCTTCATCCTGGAAGAAAGAAAATAGCCCTGATGTGCCTTAGCAGAGTATTGCTTCCCCCATCCTCAGCCAGCACTGCCACTGAATGAAAAGCTGCTTTATTTACAGATAAGCCATGGATTATTGATAAAAATATAGTACCCCTTGTCTGTAGGAAAGACTGTTGTACTGTGTGGTGACTACAGAGTTGTGCGAGGAAGCTCCTGTGTGTTGACTCGGTATATACTTCTGTGTTTCTGAAAGAAGAGAGGCTGTAACTGTACGTTGTTTGCCCAGAGTAGTTTTACAGAAATAACCTTTATACAAAAAAAACCAAACTACTAAATAGCAAATTAATATGAAAATACCTCATTTTAACAGAATTTATTTATGCTCAGTCTAACAAGATTGTAACTCTTACTTCTGAGTAAAGACATAATCACTCTGTCACCTCTTCCTTATTCCTTCAAAATTTCAGAATCTCTAGCTTTTGATGTTCTGTGGTTTTGTTTTGGTTTTTGTAATGTCTGTAACTGGTCCTAGGTAAGAGAATATTGAGTTTCTAAATGGAGTAGTAAAATATTACTGGTAAGTCTTGCTCTGCTGCATCTCTGCTGTAACAAAATTAGGTTATAGTTAACAAATTATACTGGTGAGTGCAGTACAAACTAGTAGAGCAGTTTGCTCTTTGTTAGTTACTGTGAACTTCCCTATTGATTCGGTTTTAAGTGATTTTTCTCCTTAAAGTTGTGAAAGCTTTCAGCTCATCGTAATTACAGAATTTGACATTTGAAATGTATTTTATACACCTTTTTCTAATATGAATAAAGTGTTTTGTATCTTGCTTTTAAAGGTCATCTGTAGTATGCAGGCTTCTCTGAAGAAAGCTACATGTGCTTCCTTGCTTTGTGGATTTCCAGAGATGCTTTTTTTTTTTCCTTGGTAAAAACAGATCCCACACAGCATCATAAATACTTTAAGCTGTTCTTCATTATATTTTGGCTTTTTATGCAAGCTGTTCTTGTGAGAGCTGAAAGCGTTGAAGAAATAGTGTAGATCTAATACAATGTTAAAGTAGTGCAAATCCCTTACATAGGAAGGGCTCTGTGCAATAAATGCAGAACTGCGCTGGGGGATCGCTGCCTTCCATCGAGTAAAACAGGGAACCTGCATGTTAGATCTTGATTCATTATGTGTACTGTTTGTTTATTTTCTAACAGCATATGATAATTAGTTTATCTGTTGTGCTTCAGGTCATAGTGTCAGACAGAAACGGTCTTCTGATTTATTAAAACTTCAGTAAGATGTCAAAAACTGTTTTAGAAAAGGTTTAGATACGGAGCCCCAAAGTTCAGTTTAAAATCTGTACTTGGGCATTTAAATAAAAGTGAACCAACTCTGAGAAACGCTGAGTAACTCAACCTTACGGTGGGAACAAACTGCAGGTGCCAAGCACCTTAGAAGTCAAATAATGCAGATGTAAGCTTTTGGGGTTCTTTTGCCTTTTGAAATAGAGACAGGGTTTTCACATTCAAATTCTGGCTTTTATTTCTTTTGCCAATAATGGATTTTAGGAAAGGCATAAAATGCATATTTAGTTTCTGAATGAGTATTGTACCGAAGTGGTGTTTTGTTAATAGGTAGCATGTAGCATTTAGAAGGGCAAGCTTATTCAAAGTTCATGTTTATGCTGAGCTACTGACATGTGCCATTCCTAGGCTGAAGAAAGTTGCAGTATTTAATTTCAGTTGTAAGCTAACCCCTTCTTCCTGTGACATTTTTGGTCTAAGTGTGTGGGTTTAGTCTGTTTCAAAAACATGCCAACTTGAGCAGGAATAATATTTATTAAAAGTTATTTTATCTAGGGATCTCAGAAAATCAAAATCGGTATTAAGCTGATAAATAGGTGCTGTAGACACACATCCTGTGTTCCACCTGGAGATGAGATTACAATGGATTTATACTTCTATTTTATAACAGTTGGGGTTTTTTAAATGCTGTTTTAATATAAGATAAACACTACCATATTCTACCACTTTGAAGGCAGTCCGGGTAATCTCACATTTATCAAAGGAAAGGTATGCTTTATGTTAGGATGTGCAGATCTTTAGCTCACTTGAAGACATCCCAGATGTTCCCTGTATACATTAAGCCTCTGGGAATGGGGTGGAACTGAGGCAGGTTCTCCCGTATCACTGCTCCAGGGGACCCCTCGGACCCAGTGGAATACTCATTTGGTTATTTAATGTGAAAGCCTTCTGCTTTTGTTTCTGGAGCAACACCAGTATTCCTCTGGAACAAATTCTGCGATGTGTTTGATATTGGAGATTTGGGGCTTTAAAGAAAACAAACAAGCAAAAAACCTGCCACCCAAACCCAATGACTCCGTAACTAGCTGCCTTTATTCTTAGCTGTTTTCTGTTCCTTGTAATTGCTCTTTTAATCTGTTACTCTCCCCTGTTGTTAAATGGGAATGGAATGATTGAGGTGTTCTAGCATACGAATAGTAACCATTACGTCGTCTTCTGTAGCTTTGGGAGTTGGTTGCTTGGAAGCTATTTTGGCAGAACAGTCGTTACATATATGTCTTTCTGTGTTTGAGACAAGTCTTCATATTAGAGCTCTTGCAGGCAGTCCATCTGGGAGAAGACTGAAGAATACTGTTGCAGGGCAGTTTATGTTGTGGGAGAGCTTCATAGATCTTGATACATTACTTTCCTTGTGTGAATTCAACTCTGACTATATCAAAAGTAAAGTTTCTAAGTTCTTCACAATTGAATTTTTGATAGAAGTAACTTTTGGTAATGGAGTGCTAAGGTATTGAGTGTTTTAGGATACTAACATAACATAAGCTAGAACTGCTTACCATCAAAATTTTAAAATGTGGAATTATTTTAAAGATGAAGTTGACATCTTGCCCCTGCTTCATAGAAATGATTGATCATGTATGAAATGGTACTTTCAGCAAAAATGACATTTTAATCTTGATCAACATAGGCTTCTGTGGTAAATGGAGGTTCTTGCTTCACTCAGTTTGAGCAAGGTCCCATTCTCTAGACAAAGTTTTCTCGTTGGTAGGACAGTATTCTGAAAATCTGTCTTTTGGTTTTCTGTTGATAAACAATCTTGCTTTGCGTTTCCTTTGAAATGTTGTTGTTACAGGATTTTTGCAGTGTTTTTGTGTTTCTTGCTTGTGAGCTCTTGTGTTTGGCAGGATATTCTATGAAAGCTTGAGCTGGCCTCGAAAGTAGTTGTTTGGTAATGTTCAAATATTTGAGACCTCCTTGCAGGTCTTGAGACTTTGTTACTTAAAGTAAGATAAGGTTAGAGTTTAGCAGATCGGTCTGTTTTCTTTAAGAACTCGAATCTCTTAACAGTAAATATTGGAGAATTTTTGCAAGTAGAGAGTTTATCCAAATGGCTATTTTCTTACATTTTAAAGAAGTATATTTGCAAATGGTGAAAGGACCTATACGGCACCTATAACACGCAGGCAAATGTTTACATGGTACATTTAATATAATTCTAATGTGTGAGAGTTTGAGATGGTTGGAATTTTTTAAAAAAAAATGTTGCAAAATGAAATTTTCATTTCCTGTGGAGCTTGTTAAATGTAAGAAACTGTTGACAGTAAATTGACATTTAGTCTAGATCTGGCTCTGGTTTTGATCGCTTATCATGCTAGACTGCAAAATGCTGCCAAAGCAAATAGTAGTTTATTATACTCAAATCACAGTTGGTGATATGATGGGAAAAGACTCCGCTACTGGTATTTTTCCTGTGGGGTTTTGCTAAGTGTTTGGAAAAGGTGTGATTTGTTGTATGGGATCTAAGTTAGATTCCTAACATAAAATGGGACATTTGCTCTATTTGGTATGTTACATGGACACTAGCTTTCTGTCAAGTGTAATGTAAAAGAACTTTCCTGGTTTGTTAAAAGCCAGTGAAATCTGGAAGCTGAGAAACAGTTGGTCTATAAGCTAGTGCCTATACAAAATCAAAACCTTTCTGTTTTCTTTTGCTTTTCCGAGTTAGAGACTCATTTGCATTCTCATCTTACATGCTTCGGTCACTCTGTCTTCAGTTAAAGAAGTGACTTGACTGTGTTACTCAGCCAGTGATGCATACAATTTCACGTGTCACTAGTTCTCTGGTGTTGTACATCATGCAGGCTTCCTTCACGTAAGAAACTAGCAGCATCTTCAGAATGGTGTACAAAAGGCATTCCTTTTCAGTCTCTAGAGGTAACCTTGTCAGACCAGCTCGTTTCATGTCATGAAAAGTAGCTGGACACATTACAAGTCAACACCCAAGTTCTTACTGTTGAAGCTCATTCTCTCTGATCTTCTGTCTGGAGAACCATCTGCATTGGTTCAGGAGGTCCCAAGCTGCCTATATTTAGAGGCTAAGAGAGTTTTCTGGGCACCTGACTTTGTATGCTTTCCACGTTATTACACTTTTGCCTTCTAGGCATCTGCCGTTCACTGCTGTCTGACGCAGGATACTGATTTAACCCACGTGCAACTTTTGATATGCTGTGCGACAGCTGGTTGTACAATTGTTTCAACAGTTGCCAAAGATGCTGAAAGGAGAAAATACTTAGGGGAAAACGTATTTGTTAAACTCTCAGATTTATGGGGAATTTACCTCAATTGAATCTTGAATATATTTATCTCTGTTCATAGCACTCCAAAAATCTAAATGGGAAACTTTTTATTGACTTCAGCTCTCTCCCAGTCTCATGAGAAAGAATAGGAGATGGAAGAGGAAGAATGTATCTGCTGAATTTGTATCCTTTGCTTTTCAATGATACATTTGCATCAGCTGTCATAAAACCAGCAAGCCTTTTACAGAGGTGTCTAAACTACATGCAGTAAGAAAAAAAAAGTAATTACCCTTCTAAAAGGGCATTTTCTCAATCCATATTTGTTTCACAGTGAGTAGCTAGATATTGTTGCAAGTTAAGTTTGAGCCAATAACTCAAGGACTCATCTCCACAACTTTTTGCTGGAGTTTGTTTCCTTTGTTAAAAAAATCTACCTTTTGATCCCTAGAGCAGCCATGAATTCCATTACAAGGACATTCTTACAATACACTGCAGATACTAACTCAAGACTTTGGGAAGAGTTGAGTTGCAGCAGTAAAGAACATGAACACAGGCTTCCTTCCTGATCTGAACAGGCACCTCACCCTTTTTAATTACCATCTTCTCATCTAGGTTGTGGTATCTGTTTTTTATCAGTGTAGGTGGACCTAGCATTATGCAGGGACAAAAGATCAGGAGCAAAATCTTACATGCTTTGACAGTTCATGTTTGCCTGAAGGTGTGTGTCTGTACCAGCTTATTGCAAAGAAAAGTGCTAGCTATGATTGCTCCAGGAAATTCTGCTGTAAAATTTGGCACCAGGTAACACTGTACTTGTGCAGATCGTTGCAGCTTGATAATCTGCAGCCTGGAGAGCATCACTGTTGCTTGGGATGTAGGTTCATACAGGTGACTGGTGCGGAGTGCTTTACCTGGATTTTACCATGTCCGAAGGAAGAAAAAACAAATGAGGCTTGTCCTATTTCTGTAGATCTGGCTAACATCAAGCTTAAAGAATGTAAGGAAAGCTCTATCTGAGCAAGGCATGATACTGGGCTTAATTGTTTCAAAATCAGAATGGTCAACAAAATAGCAAAATAAAGCATAGTCCTAGCAACAGAATTCCTTTTTAGTGACTTTACCTGTCAGCTGTAGTTACACTGTGGTGGTTTACTCTGGAATATGAAGTTAGTGGACTGTGACATCTGTCATGGTGCTTCCCTACTAGTTGTTTTTGTAGGCTTTAGCCTCTCAAATGTACTGTCTTGTATTCCCCTCTTTTCAGAACTGGAAAAGCGTGAAGGCCTTAAAAGATTGTTAATATTTGAAACATTTCCTGGGTAATGAGTTTTACTTCTAAGCTGCCTTTCTGACAGGAACAGGCTGACACTTCAGTAGTACCAGTTCATTCGATGTAATTTTCTTGGCTTTGTGGTGTTTCACAAGTTGTGCATCATAAAAAGTGTCACTTAAGTCAACTCTGGTCTTAGGTTTTCAGTACACAGGTGGTTCTCTGTAGAGACCACAGGTGATACACTAGTCATGTTGTTTGCTCACATGTAATACAGTGCTTAAAGTCTACCTCATCATCTCTCTCTTCCTGCTGTTGTTGTGGTTGGTAGGAACTGTTCTCCTTGATTCTTGTTTTTGGCTCTTAAGCTCCTCTTGTGAAAACTGGTTGGAGTGCATTGAGGAGGATGGTTTCCTCTTCTTGGGGAGCTACTGAACATGCTCTGGGGAAGAGAAGTATCCAGCAACTGGGCTGTGGCAAGCAAAGAGAGTTGCAACAAGATTCTGGGAGCATATCTTCCACTGAGGAGAATGAGAAACTGCAGTGAGAACTAGGGAACAGGCAGCTGATCCTCAGGAGAGACTGAAAGAGCTCTCTTCAATGTTGGAGGAGTTGGACTTTTTTTTTTAGTGTTGGTAGAATCAGAGTGTGCTTGTTTAAGGTGTGACCACTTTCTCTAAACAACAAATTCAGGCAAAATTGCTGACTGTTATAAAAGCTTGCCAGTGCCTTTCACAGTCACCAACCAGGTAAAATAAAATACTCAAGCCCATCTGTACTGATGTCAGTGAAGGAGTGTTTGAAGCAGTGGGTGCCGACATCAGCAGGTGCTGGGTAACTCCATATCAGCAGGCGCTTCCCTCAGTTGGCTTTTGTGGGTGTTTTGGGTTTTGTTTTGTTCTGAGGGTTTTTTTGTTGTATGTGGGTTTTTTGTGGGTTTATTTTTTTTTTTTTCTTCTGGGGGTGGGGTAGAGATGGGGAACTTTGGAGGGCTGGCTCTCACTCAGATTCCTCTGGCCTGATAAGCTTTTTCCCTAGCAAAGGGAGCACAGGTGTATGGGTTTACTGTTTGATTCCATTGACCAACAATGTAGCAGTTACAGCAGTTAATGCAAAACATCGCAGCTGAGGAACCGTTTTGCTTTCTAATATCCCCATGTATACTGGCAACAGATATGAGTACTTTTATGTTATGGCTTAACCTAGATGTTAGGTTTTGTACGAGTTTTAAAAGGTAAGGAGAGAAATTGTCATCTTCATTACTAGTTAAGTTGGAGAAGACAAAATGAGGGTTTTTTTGGGCAGTGAAAGAAGGATCAAGAACAAGTGTTTGCTGATGGAGACAAGAAATTAGGAGAACTCAGCAAGCAAAACAAAAAGATTTACAGTAATGGAGTGCCGTAGTTTATTGAAGATTAGTAATTGTGTTTTTGAATTAATATCATGGTCTTTAGCATCTATCTGTTTAGCCCATATTTCATAAGTAGCAGGTTCTGTCTGTTACCACAATCACTCTGTAAATTGTGGTATAGTTTAGTTACTGTCACTAAATCCTCTGCTCAATGCAACCTTTAATTTACAGCAAACTTATGTGGCTTTAGCTATTGAGACACTCCCCCCTGGCCCCAAGCTGAAAAACTGCAACTACAGGAGTGCTTATTAATTTGGCCTGTTAAAATTAACTGAGGATGGCAAAACATCTGCCTGTAATTGGTCATCATCATTTCAGGTACTACAGATCGTGGTTGTTATCAGGGGTTTTGTGGTCCTTGCAATGTTTGGAGCAGGTGACATGGGAGGGAGTGCTACACAGAATACATGTAGCCTGGAAGTTAAGAGTTAACTATTTTGAATTCCAGAATTTAATTCCAAAGTTTTATTTGGAGCAAGATGTAATTACCCACTTTATTAGTGCTTTGATGCTGATGCTTAACACGTATGTGTTAAAAGGCATGGAAAAAAAAACTGAAGAGATACCAGTCTGAAAAGTAATTGGTGAAACTGAAGCATTTATGGTCATGTCAGCTAAGCAAAAAGGAACAAGCCTAAAGCTTGTGTGGAATAAATTGTTACATGACTTGTTACTGAACAAGTGTGCTGTTGTTTAATTGTTTGACTCCTGTGTTTTAGAATTCTTAAATTCTAGAATTTATCTCAAGCATTTATTTTTTTTTCCTTAAAGTATAACTTCAAATGCAATATACAAATAAAATAGTTGTTGCTGCACATGTCTGTGTATGTAATTCTGTAGGGCATATTATAAAACAGAAAAATTCTGGCTTCTGAGTAAGGCTACTTACAGTGTATCACGAAAAAAATTGTGCTTGGACTTTTGTCTAGGGTGTGTTCTGTTTAAGTTGCTGAGTGCAACTTTTAAGATCATTATTTAGAGGTTCTAGCACAAGAATAGAAAACTTAGCTCTTCTGATTCGGAAGTAAAAACCTGAAAAGTAGAACTTCATTTTGGATAGTTGTCCTTTTAGAGGATGATACAATGTTAGGTAAGCCTTCAGGAAAAGTAATCAAAAAAAAAAAAGGAAAATAGGTTAACTAAGTAATCCTTCAAGGTAGAATTTACATATATTACTTGAAAAAACATTTATGCAAAGTTCTGTTGTCGGTATTCATCACTGTTACGTTCCTATCTGGTTTAATGGGTCAAAGCCCAATGCTCTATTTTTTAGAAATCTGTAACTTTAAAAATATTCTTTTTCTGTTTCGACAGGCCAGTTGGAATGCCAAAAATGGAAAAAGTTTACCTACATAACCCTAGCTCAGAAGAAACAATTACGTTAGTATCAATATCTGCTACAACATCACATTTTCATGCATCATTTTTTCAAAACAGGGTAAGTTATTTTGCTTTCTCAAAATGAGCTTTTCCTTCCTCCTCCCCACCCCAAATGGCAGCTTGATTTCCCTCCCTTCTTTAAACGAACTACTCAGTACTTTCAGGTATGTAATCATTGCAGTAAGCTACTGCACTTCTTGATCTCATATCAGTTACCAAGGAAATTTGAAACAAGTACGGAAACAAGCCCTACTAGAAGACAAGGAGTGAAATACTGTGTAGAACTTATGACTACGTTGGAAATGTATACTGTAACTGATGGTTTAACAGCAGATCTCCTTTATTACTGAAGTGACTAAGTGTGCGTTGCCTTAGAGCACATACAGGAGCAAGCTGTTCTTACAGTTCTTCTGAAAATTTTGAGTGATGTTAGTGTGAAGCAGTCCCTCCAATGCACTTGCAACTACTGCAGTCGTGTTACAGGAACTTGCAGGTTAAAAAAACATGGTGTCAACAGGGTTAACTCTTAACCACATTGCTGTCAGATGTAGTCCTCTAGTTTTGGTTTTGTCTGCAAGGCCTGTGGCTTAGGCAGGGGCCATGTAAACACTAAAAACTTAGAAAACCTGTCTACAAGCAATCTTTCTCACTTGTGCAAATCCTGCGGTAATTGCCTTTCTCCGTTGTTCTGTAAACTGTCAGTCCGAAGTATTTCTGTGATAAGATGAGCTTGAAGTTCAGAATTCAGCATAAAAATTCAATTAAATGTGATCCTGCACTAGATAATAGTTGTAAAATATCGGTATTTTTATTATTTTGTACACATTTTTTTGTCTAAAACCTCTACTTCCCCTGTATGTCATCTGTGTC